TTATACGTTATTTTTATACATAAAATTTAATATAAGTAAATGCTCTGTTCCTTAATTTAACAGTATTAATTACATTTGCCAACCTGAATATTCAAGAAATTTCATAGAAAATATGCGCATTTTGGCAAGAATTGAATTTCTAACCCTAATGGAAACTGTCATTTGATCTGACCTGCTGTTAACCATTCAGCTACAGAGAAGTGTCTGGTTAGCAAAGTCAGAATTACTGTTTATAAACACACACCTTTGAAAATTTTTCTCATTTGATCATTTCTGCTCACAAAACATATCTTAACATAAATAATGACAACATATTCTGAAATGTATTAAGTCCAACAATTACTTAATATATTTTCTGTTTATGCATTATTTTCATAAATATAATTTAAGTAAATGCACATCAGATCAAATGGCAGTTCCCATTAGGGTTACAAGTTCAATTTCTATTGGAGAGCACATATTTTCTACAAAATTTCTTGAATATTCAGGCAAGTAAATATAATTAATAATGTTTATTTAAAAAACATAGGATTTACTCAAATAACGTGTAGCCATAAAATTTTTTCGAACATTTAGGCCAGTAAATGTAATTAAATAAACAGAGCATTTACTTAAATAAATTATATCTATAAAAATAATGTATAAACAGAAAATATATTAAATAATTGTCGGACTTAATTCATTTCATAATATATATGTATATATATGGTGATTTTCTAAGTAAAGCTTAGATGTTGCACAATGTCGAAAGTATGGGGTACCAGTGAGGATCAAACTATATATATATATATATATATATATATATATGTATGTATGTATTAATATAAGTAGATGCTGAAAAGTTCATTTGTCAATCTCCTTCCCAAAATCAAATAACCAAGTCTTAGATTTTGTAGGGAAGAGTTTCTTTTCAGCACCTCATTGTATGTTTGCTTATGTGTATGTTTGTGTCTGTGTCCATGTATGGGAATATATGCTTAAAAGTAATTGGCTCCTGAAAGTAATAACATTAAAACTGAACTGTTTTGTTTCATGAAGAAGTGATGATTGCAAATCATTGCCTAGCAGCCCGAAAATGTGTACACTCATCACTTTTATATTTACAGATGCATTTAAATTGCACATTTGCTCTTCACACTCAGTGTTATACACTTTTTCACTTAGGAGAAGAAAGTAATGCATTTTTTTACATATGAATATATGTTACTGTCATAACAGTTCAATTAATAATTACCAAGCTGCAGACTCATATATTCTAAGCTGAACCAAATATTTTTTTGTATTTGTGATATGGAATTTTAATTGAAGATATTGATTGAGAAGAAAATTCTTCAACATTGCTGTACACTATTGATTCTAAATACTGTCATGATTATGGGAACAAAACTGGAAAGGGATTAAATAAAAAATATGCTTTGTTTTCATTAGATTTGGAATCAAATTTTGAAGTTAATTGCCAATATTTTAAAAATATGTTACAAAATTACTGATAATTTTGGTGTTCATTCTTGTGCATTTAATGTTTAATAACAATCTAGAAAGAGTAGTTGACAGTATAACCATTTCTAGCTTATAGTTCTAACTTTCCTTTTATCCTTTTAGCTCAGATAGATCTCTGTACACTTTAATAGATTTTATCATGCAAGTCAATTTTTTACAGTATAATTGGTATTAACAAAACTACGTTAGTAAATTTTTTCAGTTTAGACTCATAAATATACCAATTTCAACTTTTAATAAACATTTTTAGTAGAAATATTTATAACTTATTTAGTCATGTGATATTTTATTATATATATCTATAAACAAACTATATATTTTAAAGTAAAGGTCACAATGAGAACTATATAAGTTGAGATAAAAAAAATATGAAAATTGATTTTTCAATAGTATTTTCACAGATAAATTTTTAGAGTTTAAGGTTGGGTTTATCATAAATATAGATAACTATCGGACAATATCTAGAAAATAATATTCAAATAAAAACTGTCTTTAATTTTAAAGTAGAAAACAGTAGCAAAGTTAATAAAATATATATATAAAAACACTGAGGGTTATATAATGTCAGAATTCACGTAAAAACATAAAATAATAATTTATTCAACTATATAGGATATTATGTTTTTATCAGATATGTTTTAATAGGTAATATCTTTTAATTTTATACATATTGCACTTTGTTTGCATAATGAAAGCTCAACTACTACCCCAAAAGTTAGGAATATTTTTAATAAGGATAGATAATATGAGATAATGCATAATAATGCATGAGATATATTGCTGATATAAGTCTATCCTTAAAAGTTTACTAGCATTGATTGGTTAATGCCAATATTTTTGTGAAAATGTTAACTTACATCATAAAACCAGACATTGTGTATTTGCTCTTAATTTAAAATTGATGTCATCAATTTTTTACCCAGCTTAAAGATTATTTTGAAATGTTATTATTTCTTAATTTTCCTTCTTTTCATTTATTTTGTCCTTGCCTCCCTACATTATTAAACATTGACTTCATGCAGTTTTGGCTATTTTCATGTCTTATGTGCAAATAAATGTCTTTTTAAAAAATATTTTTAAAGCCCATTGTAGATACATTTTCTCTTTCTACCACCATTAGGCACCAGTCTACTGAAAGAGTCTTTAATAATTATGTAGTAAAAATCTAATGAACCTTTTATAAAATTTTAGTAAAAGAGATTATTGTTAAGTCTTTTATTTTGTTTTAAAATATTTTATTTGAACTGATTTCACTGAAAAATTCATCTTTTGCTTTTGTTTTCTCTTTTGAATGAATTATTTTTTATTCTATTGATAATGAATATGTTATTTTAATTAATTTATATTAATTAGGTTTTATTAATTATTTATATGTTATTCTCTAATTTGAATGTTTTACTTTTGTGATTCAGATCACTTTTAAGGTCGACCACATCAAAAAAGTTGGCACAACCATTGGCAAGTTCACCATGCTCTCGAGCAAAGTGTTGTTCCTTGGGGGCAGCCTGAATACTAATACGCTTCCTGGTTCTAAAGTAAAGCAAAATTTCAAAGGATGTATGAAGAAGGTAGGCAAAATCCAAAAACTGTTTCAGATTTCTTCATAAATAAACTGATCAGTTAATTTTTTTTTTTAAATTTTCTGAAGAACATTGATTACTTTCTTATCCCTTACTGATAATTATTCAGAAATCCAAAGATTTGCTGTCTGTGGTGGGTAAGGTATATCATTCATCATTTACATATTATTTACTTGAAATCAATGGAGATTAGAAAAGCAAGTATTTTTCATTAAAGAAATTCAGTTGTTCTTTTCTTTATTGAATGAAAAATGTAAGCCTTAATAGTACAATTAAACTTTGTTAACAAATATTACCCAGCAATAAGAAATGTTGATTTTCTCAGTGTTTCCTAAAGTGCATGAAAGGGATATTCCCTGGTAGTTTTCTGGCAGAAAGAACAGTGGTGATTTCTGGGTTCAAATCTGTTTTGTCAAACTTCACACCTTCACTGTTTGCTGGAATGGTTGCATCTAAGTGTCACATGCAACAACACCAGCCAATCAGCTGATATACATCTGGAAGCTTAACAGGTTTTTTATTCAAATTTGGTATTTATAGAACTTTATGAACTTAAAAATTATTTAATAATTCTCTTGTAAATCAGTGTTATACACAGTGACTAAGAACTTCAATTATTTATTTATTTGATCAATTTCAAATAACTGTTTGTTTAATATCTCTTAAAAATCTATCCTTTCTAAAATAATATATATATATATAGATCTGTACTTGTAATTGAATGCTATACAGATTGTTCTAAAATAAACTTCTGATGTACTTATTTCAGGTCTTTTATAAAGCCGACAGCATTGAATTAAATCTGATTGAGTTAGGCCGAGATAAGCATGACTTGATCGATGTTGTTGGGGATGTCCAATTTGGAAGATGTCACATTCATATAGATCCTGAACCTGTCACGTTCACCACATCTGAATCATTCATCACCCTCCCAAGATGGGATGTCTCCAAGGGAGGCAACTTATCATTCACATTTGAGACCAATGAACCGAATGGTGTCCTATTGTACAATAGCAGGCGAGAAAACTATGAAGATTTCTTAGCTTTAGAACTTCTTGAAGGTCATGTGTACTTTGTCTTTAGTGTAGGATCAGGTTCACAAAAACTTCAAGTCACTAACGAGAAAGTCAACGATGCCACAACTCATTACATCTTCATTAATATGACAGCTGATGGAGGATATGTTGATGTGGATGGACATAAGACTGATTATGCAGTCCCTGGCAAAAGCGTATTAAGTCAACATGGGAAAATGTATGTTGGAGGCATTGGTGCTAAAGAAGAACAAGCTTTGTTGCCAAAAGAAATCTGGGCTGGGATGCTAGGATATGGGTTTGTTGGCTGTTTAAATAAATTTTATGTGAATGGTGACCCTTATGACTTGCCTGCCATTAGTGCTGAACAAATGGCCACAGGAGTAAAAGCTGAATGTCGCAAAACACCTCCTCAATGTGTAAAACGCCCTTGCATGCACCAAGGAAATTGTGCTGAGGGATGGAATCGTTTCATATGCGACTGCAGACAGACTGGCTATTATGGCAAACTTTGTGAACATGGTAAGATTTTATTTATTTCACTATTTTATGTAATTTAATTTACAAGTTGTTTTATCTTGACCTATTTATTCTTCAATGATCAGCTTAGGTATATTTCTGGAATTCACTTTCTTATCTAAAAATATTGATGCACATGCATATTAATTCATATTAAAGAATTGCTGGCAACCAAAAACTTTGAATCTATTTTTCTGTAATTTTCAGGAAATTTAATGCTTTAAAATAAAATAATCACATCACTAGTGATTAAAATGTGCAATGTCTTATAATAATTTCACAAAAGGATCCTTCATGTCATTCCAGTCTTAGAGTTAATGTTTTTCATCAGATTTCTTAAAATATGAAATCTTTTACATCTTTCTTGTTCCTAATATTTGTGCCTGCTGGCTTTTACATCTGCCAATTTTTATATTTATTTCTTTTATAATCCAAGTTTCATTGGGACTAATTTCTTTCTAGCCATCTGTGCTAAGTGTTTATTTCTTTCCCTTTCTATGCTTAGACTTCTCTGTCAAAAAGGCTATGGTTGTAGAGTACCCTGTGAGGATCAATTTTACAAATAATGGACTGTGAGACAAGCTCACTAACCACTATACCAGGCTGAGTGCTCTTCTCTTTTTCTTGGTTCAACTAAGTTTTAATGTCTGTCAGTGTATTTCAAAGTTTATTATTCAAAGCAACATTTCAGAGAAAATGCTAAATTAGAAGACTAGTAAAAAGACCAAAATAAATTATAGCAACTGGCAACTGCTAATATCTAGAAACCAACATTTGAATTGATCTTCTCTTTTATAGAGAAAAAAAATGTGGTTGGAATGATTATGAAAATATATTAGAAAATGATAGCATTCTACTGCTTTTAACTTTGATTAAAATTAGTAGCTCAGTTCAGATTTGATAACTCAGCTTATAATGTTTTCACTTTTATTAGATTTAGACTCATAAGTATTCATTTTTCCTATCTCACTATTTTTTCTTCTGTCAAATATTATTCTTCATTGTTTTATAAATTTAACTACCTGCTTCAATAGGGAATGTTTTGTATTTCTGTTCATTATTTCAGCTATGAAATTTTACTGATTTAGTAAGTTTCTAATTTATTGTTTTTGTATGATAATTTTATAAAACTACAATATTTTGAAAACTATTTTTTAAGAAAAACTACATGGCTAGAAATGTTCCATTTGCTCTGAATGACTTGTTTTTACAGAGATGGTTTACTGATGAAATCATCAACTAAAAGTCTTGACTGATTGGTAACAGAAATAGAAATTTGCAATTTCTACTCACTTTCCTTTACAGTTGCTTCAAGTCTTCATTTTGACGGCACTCAATACATGAAAATAAGTATGCCAGGAGAATCAAAAACAGAAGTTGAAGATATATCTTTGCGGTTTAATACAGTGAGGCCCCATGGCCTCCTCTTCCTTACTGCTTCAGAAGAAACAAAAGACATAATGGAATTACTACTGGAATCTGGAGCCATTAAACTGAAGCTAAATCTTGGAAGTGGCACAAGAGTAAGCAACTCAAAAGAATTCTAATTCAAAACCTTACAATTTGTATCATATGTCAGTACTTGTTTGGTTTTCAATTTATTTATATAAAAATAATTGATTGGAAGTCATTACAATTCTTTCTTTTGTATTCTGTTATTTTGAATACTGGAAAATATCAGCAGAAAAACAACTGCTTTCCAGTTCTTTCTACTAATAAATTGTTAAATTTGAATATAATGTAACAAAATCCTTCATGTTTAAGATTAAATATGATGTATATATTTAGCCAATTTACTATTCAGTTGAAAGATTCTTTAAATCATGGTTTGGGATATTCAGAAAATTAGCACCATAAATATTTTCTCTGAAATTATAACCTTTTTAACTTGTGTTTGTATTTTATATCCATTTCTAATATAATAACTTTTCAGTTTCTAACATTTTTTGTTTCCAATATTTTTTTTATTGTACTTTTAAAAAATTGGATGGGTTTTCAAAGATGATGATATTCATTTTTTTTTTTTTCAGACATTGATTACAGGTCAAAGTTTAAATGATGGACAATATCACACTGTATTTGTGAAACGGCGTGCCAGGAGTGTTGAATTGGCTGTTGATTATAATTTGCAGTTCAAACTAAATTAAATTATGTTTTTACAGTTAAAATTAATTGAAAATTTATAGTTTTAGGTTCTGTATATTTCATAAATCAAAAAAACGATTATCTAAAAACTCAAGTCTGACAGTTTAATTCTCAACGTCTTAAAAAATTAGCATTTCTCTAGAACTTAATATACTCCATCAATCAAAGTATCAGTTGAGAATTAATACTAGCATGACTGCCTGTCCAGATGAAAGCCAGAAGTTATGAGAGGCTTGTGGAGACACTTCCCAGTGACTCATCACAATACATGGAAGATAGATGTAACTTACTTTGGAACACTAGCTACAATGCTGCAGTCTTGATCAATGGAAAGAAGGTGTACAATTTACAAGGCTGAACCTCTTACATTAGAATCAATAAAACTATTCCAGCTTCACGTGTCACATCTGCAAATGAGACTGTCATGCAAAATTCAAACTGTTAAGCAACACCAGATGCTACTCACAAAAGGATTGAATTTCAACAAAACAGGGTGTTACCATTATCTCACAAGATAAATGGATTCATACTACTATGAAATCTCCTCTATTTCCAGAGCAATTTTATCTTTGAAAAAAGTCAGAAATCTTAGAGAGCTAAATCTGGATTGTAGTGGAAGAGAAAACACACCTGGATGATCTTATATTTTACTAAAAAAGAAAAAGTCTGATGCAAGTTGTTATTGTAGATGTAACAGTTACTCAATATAAAAGCTTACTCAGCTGCATTTCACTGCCTACTGACAAACTACATGAGAAAGTTTCTAGTCACACAAGCACAGTAAGATTCTTTCTGATTGGTTGACAAGTTATATCAAGTCTGTATGATATTCAAAATTGCTGGATACTTTCTAGATAGACCTTGTAGTCTTCATTAAAATATTTCCATTACACTCAGGCAAACATTATAAATGACTTGTCATTATATTTCACCATTATTTTATTGATACATTAATTATATAAATTTTTTCTTAATATCAGCTATAAATTGGAAAAAGTTATTGTATTTTTTAGAAAATGTACTTAAAAAAATTCTTGTTAAATTACATATACATTTTAATAAGACACATGTTGGGTTTGAAACAATCTCAGAATTAAAATTAATTTCTTTTCCAGATGTAAAATCGTGCTTGTAAAATGTTTTTGTTCAAGCTACTTATATTTAAAAGAAAAGATTTATTGGCAAAACTTTTTTCTTGCTTGTTTCTGGTTTTCATATCCATTTCAGTTTGTTAATTAACTGAGTAACAAATGATAACAGACATTTCTATTGATTTGTGTATTGCAGATAACTTGCCTGAACCCAGTAGAACATTAAAATACAAGTATATCTACATAGGGTCCATTGGCCCACTGCCATCTGGTAATTCAACATAAGATTTAGCAATCATTTTATTGTTGTTACATTAATGTTGTGCAGTCATTCTCATCAAAACTGTGCTCACCTTCTCTAGTTAAAACTTTTGTACACACTCACAATGTTTTTTATCAATTCTTTCTGCTAGTTTCAGTTGAATTTTCCTTGCATGTGATGTCATTTGATTCAGTGGCATTTTCAATTTCTTTTGACTGTTTCTTATATATATTTTTTTTTTATATATATATTATAATTTATAGTGTATAGAACATAATTCATGTTTCTACTTTTTTCCCATTTCAATAGAATTTTCACTGGCTGCATTATCTTTCACTATTTTCATCTTACTGTCCATTTTAATAGATTTTCAATGGTTATAATAAACTTTCTTCTTTCTGCACACTTCAGTAAAATTTACTTTTTTTTCATAGAATTTTCATAGGTTATGTTTCATTGTTCTGTCCATTCAGTAGAATTTTCAGTGCTTAAAATATGCTTTTGTCATTTATCCTATTTGCTTAGAATCTCACTAGAATTGTCTATGTTTACTATGCTCATCCTTTCAAAAGTATTTTTCTATAATAAAACAATTTGGTCATTAATCAATGAATAAATGGAAATTATTACAAGTCTGCACATATGCTCAATATAATTTATTAATCTTTATAAATTCTCAACAAAACTAAAATCATTAAGTAAATAGTAATGCTACATTGTAAGTATTGGTAAGTATTGTAAGTATTACTTGCTATATAGTGCTGGTTGGGAAATTAGTTTTGTTGTGGGATAATTTCTAGGATAGTGAATTTAACACACTGTGTGCTCTCCTGATTTTATAAAAAAATGCTGAAACATTCTTAGCTCAAGAACGGAATCACTTGAGATATGAAACTGAGATGCTACTCCATATATTCACACTGCCATGCTACAAACTTGGCACAATGGTTTTCAAATTACTTTAGCCCTTCCAAAAATATTCTCTTTGGAATACTGCTCTGGATCATTCACAAGTACTTTCTTTTTCAAACTCCTTTTATGGTTTGAAAGCGGGAAATAGTCAGATGAAGAAGTATTGGGAAGTATTGATGATTTATGCACTCAGAGCCCAATTCATTCATTAATAAGTCAGTAAATCTTTTATTGTTAAATTTTTGATTTTTTCCTTGCTATTCTTTAGATGTCCTTCTTTTTTAATGATCACTACATCTTAATTCAAGTTATTTTATGTTTTAACTATATATATATATATATATATATATATATATATATATATATATATATATATATATATAATATAATAATAATAATAATTGACTCTCCCATTGGTTTCAACGTATGAGGATCTGACAGCTTAGTTGATTCAGTTATGAAATTTTGTGCAATAATCTTAAGTTGCATTTAAGACCTGCTAGTGATTTACAAAGGAGGCCACACATGGAGCAAGAGTGAGGATTATGAGATGAGATCACTGTTAGATTGGCTGACCTTTTAGTTCTTGCTCTCACTTCAGACATGCAGATTGAAAACTGCTGAGTCCACTAAAACACGTTGATCTCCATTCTACCCACTCCAAGGCTAAGCGCTCAAGGGTGTTATGTGGTATATTGACAGCTGACAAGTTGCTTTTCAGCTTGTCTTTGTATCTTAGCCATGGGCGTCCTACATTCCTGTAGCCCTGATCTAACTGGCTGTACATTAGGATCTTGGGTATCCTGTCATCAGACATTCTCAAGACATGACCAGTCCACCGTAACTGAGACTGTATGAGAAAAGTCTCGATTCCTCCAATATTACACCTGTTAAACAGGTCTACGTTAGATGTCCTATCTTGAAGGTTAACTCCACAGATTGCATGCAGACAGCTTTTATGGAAAACATCCAGCTGGCGTATATGGTACCTGTATGGAGTCCACAACTCTGAGCCATACAAAAGGATGGCAAGGACAACAGCTCTGTAAACCCAAATTTTCCTATCCAGTCAAATACCCCGCTCATTCCACAAGCGATGGCAAAGTTTGCCGAAAGCACTGGTAGCCTTAGCAATCCGATGCATGATTTCATCATCTAAAGTTCCACTGTAGTTGACTTTGCTACCAAGATAGGTGAAAGACTTTACATAGTTCAGGGCTTTGTCTTCTACTTTCAATGGTCTCTCTGGAAATTTGTAGACTGGTGGTTTTTGTTTCTCACCACAGAATTGCTACAGAGTAGGACAAGGTTGGTGCACTACTTCAGTTTACTTTATACTAAGTGTAAGACCAAAGGCTTTACATGCAGCAGAGAAACGATTTATTAGATGTTGGACCTCCTCAAAGGATGTTTCTACAAGATCAGCATCATCAGCAAACAACAAATCATGAATAATTTGAATACGAAGGTGGGTCTTGGCTTTGAAGCTTTGTTCAAAACTGAAACTTCACACCACTCTCCAAATTGTGTCTACAAATGCATATTTCAGCATCACTGAGAAGAAAAGAGCAAAAAGGGCAGGGGCCATGACACAACCTTGCTTGGTGCCATTTGTAACATCAAAGGATTCTGACATCATACCATCAGGGGAGGTGACCTTTAGCATTCATTCCTTCATGAAAGGAGATGATGACCCTCAAGCATGTTTTTCAAAATATGCCTTTCCTTCAAAAGTCAAAGGTCTTCATCAAGTCCACAAACACCATGTACAACTCCTGGTTTTTCTTGAAACCTTCTCTGCAACTTGACAAAGAGAAATATATTATATATATATATATATATATATATATATAAAACCACACTGCGATTCAGGATATTTGTCATCAATGTATATAATGATTCTTTTTATATTTTGCTCAGTCTAGCTAATTTATTTTGCCTGCTAATATGAAATTTAGTGTTTATTTAAAATGATTATTTTTGAGAGACATTTATTCCTGGAACCCTTGTTTTGATAGATATAAATATTTTCAAGAGGCATCTTTATAATCCTGTGGGACACAAAAACCTTCCATATCTCCACGAAAAGGAGATGTAACTTTTTACCAACTTTTTTCCAATATGCTTATACACTTTAGGTGGAATAGGATCCTTAAAAATAGGTGATTTTTTTCAGATGAGATTTTAAAAGATCAATTTTCCGCTTGATTATTTTTTTGAAAGACAAATGTAGAATTTCAAAATTGCTCAATTGATGTGATAGAAATTTTTTTTAACCAAAGTGGTGTTTAACACAGTTTCAAAATGCTCTTCAGCGAATCTAAAATGTCTGACTTATCCGTCAAGATAGTTTCACCATCTGCTGTGGAGATTAGTTTTAAAATATCACTTTTCTATTTTTAAAAATGATTCTGTAGATTTTATAATCCTTCGCTTTTGCAGATGCAATGTAACTTTTCAAAGTTTATTCTTTATTAATAGCATGTTGTGTGGAATGAACATTCTATCTTAAAATATTTTATGTCCTGTATTTTAAGTGATGAAAGTTGATCAGATGCCATTTTTTCGAACACACTTTTGCATCCACGTTTATCATGTTAAAAAATGTTTGAATGCTTTTAGAAAATTATTAGTGAATTGTTAAAAATCAAATTCTAAATGGCAGATAGTGATATTTTATTGCGTAATCATTAAATTTTCATGAACAATACCATAATTTTTAAAACGCCCTTTCCCTTGATAATCACTATTAACACGAGCATTGAAGTCACCTTTAAGGACTAATTTATCCTTATGTTGGAACTTTTGATGACTTCCTGAAATAGATTTAAAATCATCTTTTCTTCATCTGAACTAATTAAGGTTGACATTGAAACAGAAAAATAAATGTCTTTGGATGTTGACTCAGATTTTTCCAGAATTAATGCCATTATGCGATAAATTTTATATATTTTAGGTAATGAAATGGCAATTAATAGCATTCTGAATTGATTTAAAAATTTTTTTGAATATTGCCTCTTTCTCAGTCTTGCCAGCCCATAAAAATATTATCCACCATTTTTTTCCCTAAGCTGAGAATTACCAGCCAGATGTGTTTCATATAATGACCACTATGTCGATGTTATATTTCTTCAAGATTCTGTTTAAAACAAGGGCTATTTTATGAAGAAATGCAGCATCATTGTCCTGAAGAGTGCGAACAATTTTTTTTTTTTTTTTTTTTTTATTTTGAATATTTATAAATTTTGATTTTATAGATGCTACATTCATAGAAAAAAAAATAGAGAGGAATAAATATATAAAAAAAAATTTATTATCAATGCAAATTTTTTCTTTATTCATTTAATGATAATGATATCAGACGATATGATGAATTTATGCTTTAAATAGATTAACAATTGTCTATATTATTTAATGAAACATGTATCAATGAAAAAATACTGCCTAAATACACACACACACACACAATTCTACTTTATTAAACCTTAGTGGCAATACCAAAATGTTCAATATCCAAAGATTAAATTTGTCTGTGTCTGTAGAAAACTATTTTAAATAAATTTTATTTGGGAGGGGTTTGTCCAAATATTGGTCCTCTATTGGCAATTGTAGTGGGCCACTATCACTCCACCAGTGCTAACATTGCTGAGAGGAACACACTGGCAGTCCAACATTATTTCTTATTACTATAAAGTTATTTTTCGTAGGTAGACATGATTGAGTTGCTATCCCTTTTTTTATTTTATTAAACAGTGAAATTAATAACAACTGACCAACATTGAGAAGTAAACCAAAAAAAAAATTATATTTTAATATATTCTCTAGATGGAAAAAAAAGTGAATACTTTTTTTCCATCAGAGAAATCACTTTTTGAGACAAAGTGTGGGTCTTAGCAACTGAAAGACATGTAAAAAAAAATCTTTAGAAAAACGTTTATATTAATGAGAAGTAAGGAGAAGTAAAAAAAATCCTTTCAAAAGTTATTGTTGTTTACATTTCAGGTATGAAACTAAAGCTAGCAAATAAAGATTCATGTGCTTTCCTTAGATAGGCAATTCTTACCTTGTCCTGTCAGGCTGGTTCCATGGCCAAACTGGTAAGGCACACATCCATTTGGCAACAAATTTTGGAAAGGATTTCTAAGAATATCTTTGCAGATTTTAGTTGTTCAACAAAATTAGATATTATCTCTGAGAACCTTCAGAAAAATTTTTGTATTTTTAAATACTGTAAGAAAAAAGTTAATCAAAGAAACTTTGAAGTTTGAAGATCATTTCTGTTGGTTAATTATTACTAGAAAATGACCCCAGAAATGATCTCATGTCAGTTCATATATTAAAAATAAATACATCACATCTAAGTTTTTTTGATTATATTTTTTCCGTATAGCTAATCTTGCATGTGTCAGCTTGATTTGTTCTATCTTTCTGCTTGAGTGATTTGGGCTCACACATTGATGAGTACCAATGCTGTTCTTATTATTTTTTATTCATACCCCTATACATCCATTCTGAAAAAAAAACTGAAAAAAAAAATCTGTTCTAGCAAATTTGTGTGAAATCTCTAAATAGATTTCTGATTCTCTGAAATGCAACATGGAGAGATATCAGGTTTAGATGAGATTTTATGGCAGTTGTATGCACCACAAAGTTCTTTTCAGTATGATTAAAGTAAAATTCACACTTACAGCTTTCTAAACATTCTGTTTAAAAATTTCCAACATACTATTACATTATATCATTTGATGATTTGATTGTTGATAAAGCAATACTAATATAATTTCCTTTCATTAAAAGTTTAGGACATAAATCCACATTCATTGAAGCTAGTCTACCTAAAAAAGAATATAAATAAAAATTTTATAATATTTATTCTTTTAATCTTATTAGATTAGCATCATTTTCAGATTCGTATTTATGGTATTAGTTTCCATTATCCAGTATTTCAATACCTTCTTTTCTTTATTAACTTTTGGCATAATAAGAGACAATTCATTATAGCAACTATAAATGTAGATCAAAGGACATACTTTTTAAAATTACATTCAAATAATATAGACTCCTTCTCTGTCCTTCTCTCACTTGCACCTACACATTCACACGCACACACATGCACAATTGACAGTCACATAGAAGAAAAGCTTCATTTTAGTATTTGCTCTCATATGTGCAAAAAGTATGTTATAAGAAAACTATGCATTTTTTAATATTTATTTGCAGCAAAGTAAACTTGAACTTACATGTTATAACCTGGATAAACTGGAAGTATTTTGAACTTTATGCCAGTTTAAAAATAATCTCCTTTGGAGTAGCATGAACTCTATCAAAATTTGCTGGGGATGACAAACAGATCAGTAGACTATCAATATCAGTTTGTGCTGAAAAAAATCACTGCTGTTTGAAATGTAATTGTGGGGGATCCACAATTACTAACAATAATAGCTGATATATCTCAGTTGTCTCAGCCCATACAATTTTATCTGAAAAATCAAAGTTGAGCAAACTTTATGCTAATTGGGTGCCAAAAGTGTAACACCCATATCAATAACAGACAAAAACAGAGCTTTCAATGGAAATTTTAAACAAAGATCAAAAACCTGAAGGTTTTCTGAAATGAATTGTAACTGGAGATGAAACTTGGTTTTACCATTATGATCCTGAATACAAAATTCAGTCAAATCAAAATTTCCAGAATTATATAAATGGCTGGAATCATCACTCACAGAAGTACCTTGATAGAGCTTATGCTTTAAAAATGTTTACTTTCAATTCTATTTTTCCACAAACTTTTTGAAAGCTTTTTGCACATGAGTTTTATCAAAGGATCAAGACTAGATTTGAAATAGTTACTACAATAAGAAAATTACGAAAAAAATGTATTTTGATGAAGATTAAATCATTTATTTTTGTTTACAATATTAGTTGAATATAAACGGTATAATCTGCTATTTAAGGAAATGTTTAATATTTTTTCCATAGAAATAAAATATTTTATTATTTGCTTTTGTTTTCAAATATTTTTTCAAAGGACTATTTAGAAATTTCATCATAAATAATTATAGGTTTTATTTTTATCAATATGGCAATTTTTAGAATTTTTGGCAAGCAGTCATTTTCATAATTTCTTGTGAGAAGGCAATAAGCTGCTTAAACATGATAAATGAAATTATTTCAAATTTTTATAAAATATTTACTTCTTAATTAGTTGTAATTTAATGATACTACATATCATCTGAAATCAAAACTTGAGACATTTGAGATTTTTTTTTACTAGTATTTGATGTTTAATTTCTAAGATTATCAAATTTCATGTACTACTTACATTTTTTATCTATGTGTCCTATTTGTAAGTTTTGATACATTTCTGTAGCTTTGTCCAAAAGATGCTTACTAACAAAATGATTTTTTTTGTTTGCAGAAGAACTTCAAGGTACCTCAAGTGTCTTGGAATTCCGTAATGTTCAAGCCGGTAAACTACTTCTTGGAAATGATAACACAGTCCAGGGATATGCCAGTTTCATTGGACTCATGCAGCAACTCGTTTTCAATCAAAATCACTTTTTTGAAATGGCAAAATCTGGTAAAGTGAAAAATATCGAGGTAACTGCTCGGTTTGATGGAGGCTCAAATATTGTCCGGGATCCAATAACATTCAAGCAAATGTCGTCTTATGCAGAGCTCCAAACATTAAATATACATTTGCTGTTTGTTATCTCTTTTAAATTTAAAACAACAGAACCTGATGGTCTACTACTTTATAGTGGTGGAAAAGGGCAAGATTTCTTGTCAATGGAGCTAATTGATGGGTACCTTTATTACACTTATAATATGGGCAATGGAGCACAAGTTATCAAGGGAAACACTCCTGGACCCCTGAATGATAATCGGTGGCACTTGGTATCCTTGTCTCGTTTAGAGAAAACTTCTCAGTTTTTCCGCATTGATATCAATCCTACTGAGCACATTCATGTCCTTGATGGAAAAGCCATCCACTTTGACTTAGAAGGTCCTTTATACCTTGGTGGAGTAAAAAAAACCATGTATCATAATTTACCAAAATCTGTCCGTTCCAGGCATGGATTTCAAGGATGCATGGCATCGATAGATCTGAACAACATATACCCAAACGTTTTGAAGGACGCTCTCCTTGTTCATGGGCCAGTCATACCAGGATGTAAAGGTAAGATGAAGTTTTATTTAATGAAAATATGCTCAGGTCTGAAATCAAAAATCTGCCTACTACATTTCCATTAAGTAAATTTTTATAAAGATATTTTTGTGTTTGCTTGATTTTGTTATTCCCAGTGAAATTTGCCTTTTTTATAAATAAAATCTTTGATTTCTGTATATATTGGTTATTTTGATTATTCACTTAGCTTTCACTGGGTATCTTTCTATATAATTAAGAAGACAGCTTTTTGTCTTGTTACTTAGATATTTTCCTTAAAAAGATTTAGAATTAAATGACTTAGTATTGAATGTTACTATTGAAAGTAGAATGTGGTCATTGAAAAAATATGAAATTTATTCTTTCAAAAATGTAATTTTTCCTCTGAACAGCTGTAAACAGTTTACATGTAGTAAATATAAAGATTGCCATTTAATTTGCTTGAATTAGCTCCTCTTCACAATATCTGTTCAACTTTTTTTTGCTCTTGATTAGCTACTTTATTTAGAAAGATTAAGATGTAATTATAAAAAAAATCATCTTTTCTGAGGCTAAGTATAATTATTCCTTCATTACCATTACTGACAAAATATCTAAGCTCTAGTGAGTGTAGACAATAATATTTTTAACTTATAAATTTCATTACCATTTTAGTGAACATATTATTTATTTTTTCACACATCAGGAATGAATATATCTATTTGGACATATAAAGAATTTAATGCAAGTATGGCTAAGTAATATGGAGGAAGTAATTCTGAAATACTACAGTAATTGATTTTCTTAAAATTATGATACTAGATCAGGGATGTTAAAAATGCATTCATCAAATGACATTTACTGCTATTAAAATCATTTTGTTTTTCCATGATCACATATTCTGAATGATAGAGTTTAAGATACTAAATTAATCACCAGGAAAATGGTGAGCAACTGTATTAACTTTATAACTGTATCTTGAAGTCAAAATGATTAAAGAATTAAAATCACTGCATCTCTTATATATCATTGATATGATTATTTACTAAAAATGATCAAATGATGTACTGCTGCTTTGTCATTATATGTTTCTTTTCATTAATTTATTCAACACCTATTATTTAAAATAAACTCCACCTTCACAAAATTTTTATTTAAGATTTTATTTTGATTTGCAACTAAACATAAGTTTCCAGTATCATTTTTAACTTTTGGTGCATATTAAATCACCAGATAACATTTTGCAAAAATTTATTTCTAATCTTGTTCAATACTAAAGATGTTTTTACTGATCTGTCTTGCAACCCAATGTGTGGATGCATGTCAGAAATTAATGCATGTGCTAAATTGTTTTATTTGCTTCAAATCATTGTTAATGTTCATTTCTAATTGTATACATTTATATTATTATTATTATTATTATTATTATTATTGCTGTTGCTGCTGCTGCTGCTGTTGTTGTTGTTGTTAAGAATATATTTGTCACTTCTTGTATTTGAATTTAGGTAGAAGTAATAGAGGTATTTTCTTTGGATCCTTAACATCCATTAAATCAGATTTGCTAAAAAGAAATCTCATATGTGCTCTAATAGGTACTGTATTGCTGTTTAAAAATATTTTTACATTGAATTCATGCTTTTTATAAATGAATCATACAAATCCTTACATATGCTTCATTTTAGTGTAGTAAAAATTTAGTTGAATATCTTCATACAAGTTCAGTTTATTTCTCAGTTTAAAAAATAAAGACCTTAAATGTGGGGTTGATAATGGAATATTCTTATTATCTATATTATGAAACAAAAGAGTCAAAATTCCAATGTTATGACAAGATATTGATAAAAGAAAATATTTTTAAGCTTGAACAAAGGATCTACATCAGGGGTGTTCAACATATTTTTTTGGAGGGCCACTTTCAAATTTTATGTTATAAAGAGGGCCGGTCATCTCCAAAAACATAACTTTTTTAGACAGAATATATTTTTAACATACAAAACTGATTGTAACAACAACTTGTATAGATGCATTTTCACATTTTTATTAAATAAATAAGCATGGGAATACATAATTTTAAAAAAAAACTGTTCCCAACAGTATATGCTTCCAAAAAGTGAGATCATTTTAATGGCATCTTGCATCAAATTTATATATTTTCCCACAACATACTTTGAATAAAATGTCACCAAATTATTCTTACTGTATGCTCTCTTCAAGTTCATATCTGACAGAAAATCAGTTAGCTCCTGTTTTCAGCTGCCGTTTCAAATGGTTGAGCAAACAGTTTTAAGTTTTTTCATATTTTCTGAAATCCATGAACCTGTTACCGAATTCTTCTCTCAGTTTTTGAATACTTGCAACATATTTTGTACAAGTGAGATCACAGCTTTTCTTTCTTCCAGACAGGGAAAAATGGCAGGCCACACTGACATTGTGGCCCGCCAACTGCCTATTGCACACCCCTGATCTACATATTATTGATTATTATACTTCACCTCAAATTCAACTCCCTGCTTTGAATTTAACTATCTATTCATTGTTAGATCTTAATAGTTCCTAAAATATTTTAAATTAATAAAGAAATTATTATACTTTAGACATTCATGAATCAGCTTAATGTTATTAAATAGATATTATTGTGTGTATGATAGATTTTAAAATATTGATGTTAATATTTCTTCATTACCTATCCCAGTTACTTGAAAAACATTTTCATTCTTATCACACTTTTTTACTTATATTACAGCACAGATAAGTAACATATTCTGCTTCAAAAATCTTATTTTATACTAATATAACAGTTGCAGAGATGTTATAGATTGTTTAAATTCCAAAAACAACCCAGCTTTAAAGTGAAATGTAACCTTTTTTATTTTCTTGAAAAACTGTCATGAATTTACTCTTGTGGCTAATACAGAAATCTCACTTTCAGCAGTGAAATTACAGATGAAATATACATTTGCATTGTACAATTTGATCAGCTCTTGTGCCAGCACAAGTGAAACAAAGAATATGTGATTCTCATATTGGATAGTTAAATAATTAATAATCTCCATCATTATCTCTTCAGTTTATAAAGATAAGGCCTCCTATGGTCCTCTTTGAATTTACAAGCCATTGATATTTACTGATGTTCACTCCCTACAGTTTAGTAAAGAAATCCATGAACTTGCATAAAATATCAAATAATGGCAGGATACTACTTTCAAGAAGAGGTTTAACTCTTCAATAAACATAATTTGTAACTATTTATTAACTTTTAAACACTGTTCCAAATTTGAAAAGCAAAATAAAAATTATTGCTTCTGGTCATTAGATTTTCATAGGTTTGGTAATCCATTTCAGATTACTTCAGTTTTTCATTTAATATCTTTCTACATCTCTGAATTCATTTGAATTCCCAGCTAATGATGCATTTTCAAACATGAATATTAATTAAGTGACATAATCAAAACAGAGATTCAGTATGTTTGTATCTTTGTTCATAGCAAAGAATTCTTGTGAACACTTTACAGTCTTGCCCACTTGACACAAACTCCTAACCATAACACAATTTCCAGAACCCTAAACAGATGCATGCAGTAGCACTACACTATAGTTTCCTGCCTTAAAATGCCTAACTTCAGATCTAGGAAATATTAGATGTTGATCTTTTTCTTATTTTTTATTTTTTTGTTATACTCATGTATAACTGCTGTGAATTTAATGAGTATATTTTCCTATTCTTAACCTTGGAGCATTAGTTAAAGGTGAGTGTTTGTGTTGTAGGTCCTAGTCGGGAGTGCCACCCCGAGGCTTGTATGAACCATGGAGAGTGTGTACAACAGTGGAACTCTTACACCTGTAACTGTGACTTGACTTCATATTCGGGGCACAGCTGTAGCGAAGGTGATTACTGATACTGATACAATAGCAATCATGCTGCTACTATTACTATTACCATGATTACTACCATTATTATTACTACTACTTCTACTACTATATTACTATTACTACAACTATTACTACTACTAAAGTTACTACTGTGACTGCCACTGAAGCACGAATCTTGGCACCTGATAGACTTCACTATTTGCTTTTTCCAAGCCAAATTCAGCTCAATTCTGCTTTTGATTATGCATATTCAAAATGGCTCATAATTTTGTTGTAACAGAAAAATAATTTTTTATTCCCTGGACTGCTTGCCAAATTGTTACTAATGTATGAAACTAATTCTTAAAGCATTTTATTATGTTTAGTAATATTTAATCAGAATATCAAATAAAGTTTTTTTTTTTTTTTTTTTTTTAATATAGTCTGTATAAGATATACTATGTATATTGAAATAAATTCTCTATGTTTAAATAATCTAAGCCAAAATAAAATTGCTATTTCTGGAATTAAAATGTTCTGGTTTAATTATGTTATGGTAAATACAATTTGTATAAAAAGAATTAAAGTTTGATATTCTAAGAGATGTCTGCTAGGTAATGCAGCAATTCTCCCTAAAATTACTTGATGACAGTCTATGACCACTAACACAAGCATTTTGTACATAGTGGCAAATTGTCTTCAGTACTAATGAATTGAATTTAAATATAATGTGCTTAACTTTGGAGAAAGGTTTTTGAAGCTTCTTATCCAATGTAAGCTGATTCAAATAATAATAATAATCCCTGTTTGTGCTCAATATAAAATAAGAAAATTAATAGATAATCTCTAAAAGTTAAAGTATTAAAAAAGGCCACAAAGGTAAAGTAGGATATACAAATTGTAATAAAGTGGTGACACACTGAGTTCAATTAAGGAAGAAATGATTTTGTATGAAGCTTAAAAAATATATACAAGAAATATAGGCAAGATTACTTGAGTTTTTAAATTAGTTTTGGATTAACTAAAATACAATATACCTTAAAGTTCTCTGAAAACTTATGTTTGACATTATACAACAGTGATTTAACAGACCTCATCAAATGTTCATTCATATAAAAATTAATTATATAATTTACTTGTTTATATCAGAAATATTTCTCTAAAAATAGTATTACAGCATCCTATGTAATCATACAATTGATGACAATTTGTTTTTTGTTTTTTTTCATTGCAAAGACTTTCGGTTTCACATACACTGAGAAATACAAGAAGGCTTTTTTAATATTCTTTTTGGAAGGCCATTTTGAATATGTTTAGTCACAACAATTCCATTGGTTAATAGGATATCTGAGAAATGATGCACCTATCACAGGTCCACTGCTCAATCACTGATCAATTTTCTCATTTTTATTCTCCCAGACTCATCATCCATAATATTGAGACACTGACACACATTTCATTCATCCAGATCACATGACATTTGATTTGAATCCTCTTAAGATCTTTTAACACTGACAAACATGCAATAAAATTATAGTAGCATTTTAGCAACAAAAGTAAACTTTTTCCTTAGAAAATGTACATAAAGTTCAGCATGTCACAAGAGACATGGAAATACCAATCCAAATTTCCAAGAAATACATTCTTGCGGCTCATTTGAATCAATTTTTCATTATATTATTCTATCAATTGTTATTGAAGCTGGTACTAATCTCTCAGTACATAAATTTATAGATGTCATTTTTGGAAAGTGTTTGCATTACACTGTGTTAAGAAATTCATATCCAGTTTCCATAATAAAGTAATGATGGAATTGACTCTAACTGATAAAGCAGTTAACTTATTATATTGTCTCTTCTGTTTATGATGATTCCTAAACATTTGATCTCCAAATCAATACATTTGTGTTTCGAATAGATAAGCTGGAAGAATTATTCCTTTTTGCAGAAAATCCACATAGGACATTTTTATTCCAACAACTTCTTTTATTAAATATCAGGAAATTTCCTCTTACCCCTTAATTTATGCAGCAAACATTCTAGGACATAGATTTCATTACTGAAAATTATGAAAATATTTAAAAATTCCCAATCTATTTGACACACAAATGTATTTAATTGGATGCAAGTTTTAAAGTATTGGATTAAAATCTAACTTTGAGCTGAAACTGATATTCAGTTTTATCAAGAAAATTGCTTTACTGTCAACAATGTTCCATCAGAAAAAATGTCAAATAACCAGTGTCTGTCATGCTTTCAACTATTTGATTTATACCTCCATCTATAATGATTTCAATTCAGGAAAGAACTATAAGTTCATATTTGTAGTTCTTATGCTAAAGTGAAAATCAACGGCTTTAATTCATTTGTTCCCTACTTGGATTGTTAATTAAGAGACTTGATCAGTTTTATGAGCAATGGGCTGTTGATGAACAGCTGTAACAATCAAACACTAGCTTGAGAATGGTTGCTTGTTTAGAATTAGAAGGTAAATACACATACAAACATATATACACTTATGTATCTGAAGAGCAGCTACTATTGAATTTTGAATGTTGGTTCATTCTTGTACTAAAAAGATGCACACCTATAGAGGATGGGCTAAGCTTCTGTTTCAAAGATCTCTCTTCATTCAGCAGGTCTGCATGAAATCACTGCTATTTCTGCATTCTGGTGGAATCCTTCTTGTCTGCTTGCTACAGCTGATGTGTTTGTTTGTAGATATTTCTTCTGTTAATAACCAAACACATTTATAATAAACACTAAACACACTTGAGGCAGGTGATTTTATCAATTACTACCTTTTCACCTTAGGAAAATTCATTTGAACTCTTTCACATTTGCCTTTTCATGATGCCTTTCTCCAAAATCATTTTAGACTAATCATCAGTTCTCAAATTTAAAATTTATCTTGTTAAAACAATTGTAAGCTTGAATTGAAGTCAATGCAATATTTTCTTGTATCTATCAAATATTGGCTACATTGTGGCTTCCATTTGTAATGTACAGAGGAGCTAAAAGATTGATTTATCATCTTGTGTCTTTATGGTTTAATAATGGATTTTCATTTCCTGTAGAATTTCAGTTTCCTTACCATTCTTTATCAATCCTTGTGGACACTAGGTGATAAGTCAGAACAAAATCTTCATCCTTAATGAAATAACATTCTGATTATCTTGACATCTTGGTCAAAATTTAATTTTAAATTAGAGGCTTTTATTTGATACAGTTTGCTTTTACAAAAACAACTCTACTTCACTTCAATGTACTTGTAATTGATTCATCTACAAAAATTTACTATGTGAAAGAAATTCCTCTATTCAAGAAGATTTTTTGAAAATGTTTTGAGGTGAGCATATAGAGCCTCTTTTCTGTTTTCTAGAACTGTTCCCTGTTTAACTTTCAACTAAATTTCACACTAAATTGAGCAAAAACAGTTTTTGGAAAACAATGTTTTTATTGAACTTTTGAATGAAGCGATCTGTTAACAATGTTGGAAATAGAAACCATCCTTTATAGTTTGGCTCTTTTGTGAAAGACAAGATATTTTATAAGGCTAGTTTTCTCTCTCTTTTCTAACAATTCTTCATGTCTACAAATGATAACTTCAATAACAGCATGACCATTGCTACATTTGCATGCACGGTCACAATCCATAAAAGCATAAGAGCCACATCAGCCAATGTTCACCTCAACACTGAGTAAAAGTGCCAAGTGCCACACAGCAGGCATGCATGCATGGTAGAAAACTAAACAAGGAGACAAAATAACACAGAATGTTGATCCAAATGTATAACCAAATGAGTGAGCCACTGCATAAAAACATCCTAAAATAATTTGAAAGGTTGTATGGGGATCAAAAATAGTTTAAACTTTACATTTTTAATTGATCTTCAAAATAGATCAAGAGATTGCAGAATTATGAAGCTGTGATTCATTCTGTTTTAACTATATAGATTCTAATTTCATAACCTAAACTTTCAAGAAGAAAATATCTACTTGGAAACTATGTTAATTACAGTCAAGTCTGCAAAAAATAAACTGAATTTCCAGCACCAGTTGACCATTGGTCATTCTTTATTTGACCATTGTAAATAGAATCACACACACTTTACTCAATTTTTTTACACCTAAAAAACCTGCACAACAGATTGATGCTCACATTATAAAAGCAAAATCTTCAAACCTTTCACTCCTCACACACTTTGATATCTAAATCTATAGCTTTTTTTCTTTCATTCTCTTTTATCAAAGAAATCACTACTGCAATTAGCAGTGAATATTGAAATTACACAGCAAAATGATTGAAAGCAATCAATCTTACCTGATGCATCATTCATATTGTGCTTAGCATTAAAATGATATAAAACTATTAGTATTCTCAAACAGCCAATTGGATCTATAAACAACTATTTAATGTATCTGTTCTGTTCCAGATATGCTGAAATATTCATAAACTGTTCAAGGGTATACAAAAGGTTTACTTATTTTTATCAAGTAAAAACAAACTTTATAAATATCTGAAATGAATAATCACTTGATTCCAGTTGTGCATGCACAATTTATAATAGCATTTGGTCAACTGAATGTATAGCAAACTTATAATATATTGTTTGCTACTTTTCCAAAGAAAATATGACAGAATATAAACAAGTTATTTTTATAACTGTAGCATTTGCTTTAATTTCAATCAAGCTTGACAGCATCAGTTCATTTCATCAACACCCTTTTTCACCTGTCTTTTCAATGTTTCTAGATCCTAAATGACTTTTGCAACATCTGCTTCTTATATGGATGCTAACACTAAATGGTGAATCGCCAACAGAAAAATACCTTACTCATCACTCACTCTTTTCTTTTTCTTTCCTGATTCCTTCTCTATTTTGGTTGTTTGGTTTGTTTAATTTCTGAAGCGGGGTGGGTGGGGGTAGAGTGTTATCAAATCAGCTGCATGCCTCTTTCTCCACTTCTTTTTGTCCTTTCCTACTCTCCAACCCAATACATTTCCAGTTGCTTCTGCTATTCGTAGTAGATCAACAATCTGTTATTGATTATGTCTCCTTCCATTCTGATGTTTCTCTCTCTCTCTCTCTCTCTCTCTCTCTCTCTGTCTCTCTCTCTTTTGTTTCTCTGTCACATGGTGCCAGTGTAATTGCATCAGGATTAACACTTTCACTGTCCTTTTATATACCACAAAAATATCACAGTACTGTTGTTTTTTTATGTCATTTCTTATGAAAGAAAATTGCCCACTTGACAAAATCATATTTGACATTACCTGTGACTCTTAATTACAAGCCTTTGGATTGAATCTGAAAATCCATTTCACATCGAATATTATACATTGATGATTTTACTGATGTTCAGAATTGAACATTTTGTTAAACTAATAAAAATACAAAATTAGCAATGCAAATATTTGATTCACTTTTATTTTAATTTTTTTTTTTTGCTATTTAATATGAGCATGAATTAAATTGAGAGGCACAATTGAATGTAATAAAGCAAGCCTCAATGGCTGAAACATGTGATAACAATGATAAAGATGAGGACAATAGGCCATATACAAATAATGTAAATAATAATTCCTCATCCCAGAAATTCAGACAGGAAGAGATGTTCTTACCTTCAACAAGAATTTTGTTACCAGTTTTTTTAATCTTAAGGTCAAGGTTGTTATCTTCAAAGAAGTACATATTGAATCCTTTCACCAGATTTTGCAAACTATTTATTTTGTATACCCATTGCATTTTGAACTGAAAACATTCATTTTGCTGTTTTGTGGTTAGTGAGTTCCTCACATTCACTCTAGTCCTGTAGACTGATTCCCTGATGATTATGGGGCCACAGCATGGTAGGTATTGCTGCTGTGACTTCTATAGCTAGTAGGTTTTTATGAGACAGAGTTGCTGTCAATTGATTTTGAATTCAGAGTTGTCCTTCTCTTAAACTGATTACCAACCATGGCTAAAGAGTCAAATCTGCCCTACTATTTAATCCATGGCTGGGTTCATGCATTGTCTATTTTTCTTTGGTGATAATTGCTTTTCTAATAGAATTATAAACTCTTTCTTTTTGTCCCAGATTGCTGATACATCTTTTGCAATGTAATGTTTTTTTTAGATAAATATATAATATTTTCAGAAGAAAAAAAGATAACTTTATAGAAAAATCTAGATAATATAATCAGAAACCAACATTGGGTGATCAAAGTATGTCTACACAAAGTCTGTTATTCTTGTTAATTTGATTTCCTATAACAATGTGTATCTTTGAAATCATTATTTAAATGTGTTGCATCAAAAATTGGTTATTTAACATTCAATCATACAGATTCTTGTTCATTTTCTGCAAATCTTTGAACATAATATGTAGTTCTCTGAAAATGAAATAATGAGTCACAAATTGTGTGTAAATATAATGTGGACAATTTTCCTTCTTCTGTTATGAGGGTAAGTAAATTTATGTCATTTTTCAAAACTAAATATTGTGATCAAGAAACTTTCCAAATGTTTTCAAACCTCTCTCTATAAAATTGCATGCATTTTTAAAGGAAAAGCACTAATAATCATTAGTTAATCTTTAGTTTCATTTCAAGGTATTGCTGATGACTAATAATCATGTGGACATAATTTATAAATTTGTTTATTAATTTATACAAGTACTGTAAAAAAACAATTTTAAATGCTATACAAAAACAAATTCACTATTATTCAGTTATGCTAAATACTGGTAAATAAATTTATTTTTTATATCTCTACGAAAAATTAATGAAACTGTCATAATTAAAATATTAGAATTTGATCACAATTCCCCACTATTCTAAATAATTAGTTATACCCTTTTTATGTATGAGTCATTGAATGTTTGTCAATTTTCACAAATTTGTTATTGAAATTGCTTTTTTCATTTTGCTTTTGAATGGGTCTTACATTGTTCTAAAATTATTAGTCAAGCCATTTTATATTTGTTAATTTTAACTACGACAATTAGTAAATGAATTGATTATTTAAATACTGTTCCTTGTGAAAAACTTAGTCATAATATATAGAATACATTTGTTGAATTTCTTATATGCACACAACATTCTATTTTCTACATGTGGATATTCATTAACCTCAAAATATGGCCATTCAACTATTTCAGTTACTAAAATGATGTTAGTAGATATTTGCTAAGCTTAGCTTAAAATAAAAATACTAGAGAAGAAAATTGTATAGTGCTAATCTTCTAAGTGCAATGGGCTTGCCTTGAAAATCAGCATTCAAAACCCTATATTTTACTGGAGTTGAATAAATTGAAAGATTTTAAAATTTTAAGAAAAGAATATAAATATTCAGATATCAGTTAAAACTCTCGTTACAAACCTTTTCATTTTTAAACTTAAACATTTTTTTTTTAATGAAGAAAATGCAATTTGTTTTCTTGTGATTTATTAAAAAATATCTACATATTTTCAAGTATAAATTAAAGCATTGTGCTTACTATGATTTAGGTAGAGAAGATATCAGTTTTTTGTCGATTTTTTTAATCAATTCACTCCAGCAAGGTGATAATTCCACTAAGGGGCTACTGGGAGTGAAAGATAATGAGAAGACTTAAAAAGAACCAGAAACCCAATCCTAAACAGGAAACAAAGGATAAGCCTCTACTCCTGTACAAAAGACAGGGGAGGAATGTGAACTAGGTAATAGTCAAACCAATCTACACTTATTTAAATTGGAAATGCTGAAACACATATCCATGCATGCCATAGCACTGTAAGAACCCTGGTATTGTGCAATTGATGATTAGAGTAGCCTCACTAAGCATTACCAGATTTGGTCAGGATGCATATAAAAAAATAAAGATAAAAATAAAAATAAAATAGGATAAAATTAAGAGTAATGATATAGCGGTGGGGCTCCAGATATAGGATTAACTTCAAATATATGTATATGTATTTTGGTATGGAGCTTAGGAATCTGTCAGTGCATTATTAAACTATTATTTTTTAACTTCTATTGACTAAAAATTAAGTGGAAAATTAATTTACTCTTGTTGCAATGGAGAATTTTTGGCACTTATTTTAAGGTAGATATGCAAAATTCTTTAATGGATTTGTCAGTCACGAAAATGACCAGTAAGATTGCAAATACAATAAATGCATCTATCTATGGACAAATATTTTTAAATGAATCAAAAATTTAAAAGTACAACTTAAGTAAAATTGCAAGAAGTAGAATTGAACAGGAAGTGATACTACTACTACTACTACTACTACTACTAATAATAATAATAATAATAATAATAAACAATACACACAGACAGAACAATCAAAGCTAACCGCCTAGACATTGTTATTAGAGATCTTACACAAAAAAGTAGCTCCTTATTGATATGGTAGTACCTGCAGACTGCAATGTATCTTTCAAGATCTTCAAAAAGCTATCAAAATACAAGGACCTTGAAATCGAAATATCAAAAATGTGGCACATGGGAATATCAACAATCCCTGTTGTAGTTGGAGCCCTCGGATTGGTTGGAAAAGATTCCAGTAGACTAATTGAAGGGATTCCTGGAAGCCAATGCCTTAAAGAAATTCAAAAATTGTTCTCAGCCCACACCTTACGAAGGGCTTTTTCTATGTAAAATAGTTTGTTTTTTTTGGTGTGTGTGTGGGGGGGGGATGTCATGATGCTATTTCTAACCTTAGGTCCCTGGGCAGGACCCGGAAAGAAATGAGTACACATCAGAAATCAAAGGAAATAAAATAATAATAATAATAATAATACGGGGACACTGCCATATCCAACCGTCTGAATATCCAACGTGGAATCTTTCAAGGAGACTCTCTGTCACCCCTTCTGTTTTGTTTATCCTTAATCCCTCTTACACATGAACTGAACAACAGTAGCTATGGTTACAAAATAAATAAGAAAATATTCAATCACCTACTCTACACGGATGATCTCAAACTCTTTGCCAAAGACGACAATGAGTTGAAAGGCCTCCTCAATATTGTAAAATACTTCAGTGATGACATAGGTATGAACATCGGATTAGATAAATGTGCAAAAGTAACATTCAAGGAAGGTAGAATTACAGAAACACCCTTAATAGATTTAGATTTTGTCACAAAGATTAGGGAACTGGAGCATGATGAAGCTTATAAGTACCTAGGAATTAGCGAAGGAGATGGCATACAACACCCCCAAATGAAGGATAAAATAAGAAAAGAGTACTACAGGCATGTACGTCTGGTACTAAATACTGAGCTAAACTCAAAAAACAGAATATCAGCCATAAACACATTGGCTGTCCCTGTGGTGCAATACAACTTTAATGTCCATAACTGGACCATAGCTGAAAAGAACACCACCCTGACCTGGTTACAGAGATAGGACCTGTTACAATTCTATGGGACTACACAATACACACTGACAGAACAATCAAAGCCAACCGCCCAGATATTGTTATTAAAGACCACAAACAAAAAAGTGCCTCCTTATTGATATGGCAGTCCCTGCTGACTGCAATGTATCTTTGAAGATATTCAAAAAGCTGTTAAAACACAAGGACCTTGAAATAGAAATCTCGAAAATGTGGCATATGGGAACATCAACAATCCCTGTTGTAGTTGGAGCCCTGGTTGGAAAAGATTGCAGTAGACTAATTGAAGGGATTCCTGGAAGTCCATGCCTCAAGGAGATACAAAAATTGTTCTGACAAGTACAGCCCACACTTTACGAAGGGCTTTATCTATGTAATTTTTTTTTTTTTTTTTTTTTCAGTGGAAAGTGTCATGATGCCATTTCTAACCTTAGGTCCCTGGACGGGACCCGGAAAGAAATGTGTAAACGCCAGAAATCAAAGAAAATAAAATAATAATAATAATAATAATAATAATAATAATATTAAAATAAAAATAAATTCCATCAATGTTTAAATAATTTTTTTAACTGCAGTTTTAAGGCATAGAGAACAAACAGATTAGAAAATTATTTAGGTTCTATCAGTTTTTTTTTATATGGACCTCAAAAAATTTTTACAGGAAATTGAAATGAAGTTATATGATCAAAAAGCCACCATCTATTGAAGAAGTGCAAAAATTTTGGGAGAATATTTGGAGCAACCCAAAATTATAAATTCAGAAAAATCAAATGAGAACAAAAAAAAATTTTTTGATAAACTTGTGCAAAATGGAAAAATATAACCAAGAATAATGTTATTTTCTTTAAATGAATTTCAAAAAAAAA